TGTAGAAAACGTCTCCTCTCTTTCTAACGTCAGTGAACTTTGTCCTCAGGAGTTTTTGTCTCAGTCGTCTTCAAACAGCTGATGTTCGTTTATTAATTAAGATCATTTCGAGTCAAACGGACCAGAAAGCACTGATGTGTTGGGGGTGGAGACCACAGTGTGATTGACAGCTGGTATGACAGCTATGGGTGCAGGTGTAGGTGGGTGTGTCCTTGAGCTCCACCCCCTGCTCCTCTAAATATGGTTCCTTCTAGTTTCAACAAACCAAGATGGCGCTGGATGTCAAACTGAGGCCTCAGAGCAGCAGCTCACAAACCAACAAGCGACGACACAATGACGGGAGATTTTAGTGTAAAACTAAAAGCAGCGTCTTGCTGGAACGTTCAGTGTCGTCAGTTAGAATCTCTCAACATGTGGAATCTTGTTTGTCTGGATTTTCTTTGATGAACTTGTTTGTTTCCTCCAGAACCTGCAGCCGAATGCCCCACTTCACCTGAGTCCTCACCAGAGACGATCTTCTCGTTAGATATGGAGGAGAAGGAGAAGGAAGAGTGTGAACGATCTTTGCCCCAGCGACGAACTCAAATCCAGGAACCACAGAACAGATTGAAGCCAGAGAACAAAGCACAGAGATCGAGACCTCCAGATTAATCCGGATTACACCAGACCTGGACTGCCAGCTTTTCCACCCCCCCTCTTCAAATACACATGTTTTGGCTCATTCGACTGTAACGACTGTGGCCTGTGCATCACTTCTACCCAACGACAAACTGTTGGTAGAACTCAGCTGTCCCTGTGTTCTCAGTTTTCCAGGTTGATGTGTTTGAGTCTCAGAAGATGAAGCAACTGCTGATTAAACTCTGAAATCTGACAGGACGCCCCCTGCTGTCTCACGTTCTTCTGTCAGATCCAAACACTTCCAGTAGCATTTTACCTTTTCCACAACAAACACCAAGAAAATGTGTGAACGTGACGAACCTGTGTGATTATTCAGACGATTGAAGAACAGGGTTGATAATGATGTTGTTATGCTCAATAAACTGCACATTGAAAAATCCTGAAAACACTCACTACTATGATGTTTGTTAAACCTGAATGTTAGGTCTGAATCTAAATATCAAAACCACATAAGTCTTTTAAACCTAAATCTATATTTCAAGTGTAAAATTAAAGCTCCAGTGTGAAAGATTCAGGTGAAAGGATCTATCAGCAGAAATCTAATGTAGAAAAATCCTCACGATGTTTTCACTAAACATCGTGAGGATTTAAATTATATGAACTGTAGTTTTCTTTACCCCAGAAAAGAACCTTTATATTCAAATACTTTATATTTAAATACTTTATATTCAAATACTTTATATTTACATGGAGGGGGTCCTCTCTACAGAGGCCGCCATGTTTTTTACATTAGTCCAGACTGAACAAACTAAAACCTTTTGAGTTTTTATGACGACTGAAGCTGCCACAGGTTCTTCTTCATGTTCGGAAGGAGAGGGGGAGGGGAGGGGTGTTCAGCTGCGACATGACACTTCACCACTAGATGTCACTAAATTCTACACACTGAACCTTTAAATCTTAATCTAAATGAAAATCTAAACGTTAAATCAAAGTGCAACTAAGTCGATATTTAGCTAATGTAACTTCGTATATACCAAAAAGAAAAGCTTGATGATCCAGGGCTGTTTCTCCCTGTCTCCCTCTGGTGGCTGGACTTTGTAACTGTGCTCCATATATTTAACTTTCACATTTAACATCATCTTTAATATGTTTCTTACAAATTAGGTAAATACGACCAAGTTCACAAACATTTCTGTAAATCTGGCACAAAAAAAAAAGTGTAATTAAGAAATTCACACTTTTTAAAATGTGGTGAAAAGTTGTGATTTTTCCAGATGTGCTGCTTTCCAATCGTTACAAACCTTAATGTCAGATGTAAAAACAATTATCTCCATTACACTAAACTAACTTTTGTTTTACATCTCGATATATTTTTCAGTTTCTGTTCAAGTAGCATTGCAGCAGTTAGCTTGATGCTAGCAGGTACAAAGAGAAACAGCCCACCAGAAAAACTCTGGAAGGTTCCAGAGCTGCATAAAACGTGAACAATGAAGTGCAGCTTTACTTTAACTGCGACATGTACAACTGTTTACGCCTTACTTTGTTTTCAATGTCATTTCGATTTGTTACAATAGAATTTCTTTGTTGTAATATTTGTATGTAATCCTGCTGAAAAACTCCAGATGAGGTCGTTGAAGGTTTAACACTGTTTATGGCTGCAGTTGTTAAGTACAACACTATAGTAAAAGAAGTACTATAGTAAAAGTAGAGACACTATGACAGCGTATTATTATAGCTGATGATTCGTAAAACTTTCTGAAAGCCACAGGACTCGTGTATGAAAAAGCTCCTCCTAGTGGCAGAACCAGGTAGCAGCAATTCAGTTTCAATCTGTTCTCATTTTTATTGATTTCATAAATTAACTTGAAAATTACAAACATTTGATTGATGTACATTATTTTACAAAGTTTCATGTGAACGTTTTTTCTGTGATTCTACGTCACAGTGAGTTTCTGTTGGATGTTTTTGTATCGGAGCAGCTCCTGTTCAGAAACCGATGGTTTGAAGTTTTCTAACGATGCAGAGAAGTCGTCAGCAGAGAGGACGACAGGTGAGTCCTCCGAGTCCACACCTGAGACAGACAAAGACAAAGAGAGAGAGAGAGACAGAGACAGAGAGACTATAAGTGTACACATGGTCTCGGGTGATGTGGTGAAACGTTGATATTTCTCAATTATTTTTTTCGATCCTGAGCGACACACGTCTCAATCAGCTGAACATTAAAAATGATCCAGAGGTTCAAATGTTTTTACCTTCGTCAATTCGAGAGATCTTCCTCTTGATGGCGGCCGTCATGGCGTCTGAACACAGAGCGTAAAGGTCAGCGCCGGTCATGTGGGCGGGACAACTGTCCACCACCTCCTCCAGGTTCACCGCGGGGTCCAACTGAAACCTGATGTCAAGATCATTGTAGTTTTTAAGTAATTGAACATCTTCTGTTAGACAATATCTGTAATAATACCTTGTGTACAAAAACCCTTCATCAATTTTCACAGACGTTTGAATATGTGGTTGTTTATCTGAACATCAAAATAACTGAACTGTATTCCTATAGGGGGCGCTGCTTACTTTCTGAGGATGGCCTGAAGGACTTGAAGCTGAGAGACTCGATCCTCGTTGATTCCCACGTAGACCAACTTATCAAACCTGAAGACAGAGAGAGAACGTTTCACGGAATCATCCTGTTGAGAGTCGTCTCGATGTTTTTGAGTGACGGACACTTTCAAAAGAATTGTTTATAAAGGTTGTTTCTGTGAATCCACTTTAGCAAACCTGCAAAAGAAATCTGCACCACAGGTTTGTATGGTTACGCTTTGTTTTTAAATTTTTATTGACATTGTTGGCTTAGTGAAAATATGTTTTGT